TTCCAGTTGTCTCTGCTGCTTTATGACCCATTTTGAACGCAAATAAGAAAATCGCTTGAAGTTGCTTTTTGTCTAATATCATTTCCATAGTCTAAAATAAATATAAACAGCAAGTAATAAGTCATTAGCAAAAAAAAAAGTGAGAAACGCGCATTAATGTATAACAGAACCGTATTTAAGAAGGTATTCCAGTATCAAATGACAAATTTCAATGATGCAAAAACCGAAATTACTTTTGCACCAGCCTGATATATCCTACAAATCAAAAAGAAAAAAACATGACTAATAGGAAAAAGGAAGAATAAGACTATGACCAAAAAACAAAAACATCCTTATCCTGCAAAGAATGCAAAGTGAACACAAGACAGAGTTTTAATACCAATAAAGTGACAAAAAATAAAAACTCTGACAGTATTAAGTGTTGGTGATGGCACAGAAGAACAAGAATCTGTATTACACACAACAGAGAAAAGGTGATTATGGCCAATATGTACACATGCATGAATGCACCTATACATTTTTATGCATATATCAGAGTAACAAATAATGATTAAACATAGTGGTTACTCCAGGGATACCTTAAATTACTGTTCCTCTTTTTGAAAGCTTTTAAATGGCTCCCGTTCACTGAACACTTATGTATCCAGTAAAGCACATAACATAGGTGCTTCATATACTTCATATTTTTTAGTTCTTAAATATGTTGCAGATATTAATAGTCCTCTTTTTTCAGATATGTAAAATTGAGTTTCAGTGTAAACTGAATCTCTAAGAGATTAAGTCATTTTCTCAAGGTTCAGAACAGTAAGTGGCAGAGCCAGGATTCAGGCTAAGAAGGTCTTTCTACTCCGATGCCTAACCCTGACTATGCCAGAGTGATACAATATTATGACCTATGCCCTGATATTTAACAAAATTAAAGCATTCTTGGGAATATTTCTAGTTTTCATACAAATATCCTTAATCAAGATCATTCTGGAATGGGCAGAAGATAAAAAGAATGGAATGGCAAAATGCAGAGAAAGCAAGGCAAGTGAAAGCTACAAACGTAGATAAACGTAGACATGGGCTGGGAGAGGTGGCTCGTGCCTGTAATCCCAACACTTTGGGAGGTTGACGGGGGGTATCACCTGAGGCCAGGCATTGGAGACCATCCTGACCAACATGGTAAAATCCTGTCTCTACTATACAAAATAGTATTAACTGGGTGTGGTGGCGGGTGCCTGTAATCTCAGCTACTCAGGAGAATCGATTAAACCTGGGAGGTGGAGAAGCAGGAGAATCGATTGAACCTGGGAGGCAGAGAAGCAGGAGAATCGATTGAAATTGGGAGGCAGAGAAGCAGGAGAATCGATTGAACCTGGGAGGCAGAGAAGCAGGAGAATCGATTGAACCTGGGAGGCGGAGAAGCAGGAGAATCGATTGAAATTGGGAGGCAGAGAAGCAGGAGAATCGATTGAACGTGGGAGGCGGAGAAGCAGGAGAATCGATTGAAATTGGGAGGCAGAGAAGCAGGAGAATCGATTGAACCTGGGAGGCGGAGGTTTCGGTGAGCCGAGATGGTGCCACTGCACTCCTGCTGGGCAATAAGAGAAACTCCATCTCAAAAAAAAAAGATGATAATTGTACACATGAAATTATGTATATAATTTTAGTAGTTCACAAATTCCCTGGGAGTCCCATCTACAGTCCCTTCTTCAGATTACAGGTTGAGAACGGCTACTTTAGGGGCTAAATATTTAAGTGACCATTCAAATTTCTTTGACCAGAGTTGAGCTATCAACTAGTGCATAAGTGTTTCATACAGACTGCCCATGTTCAGAAATCTTTGTTCGCCTTGGTAAAATTTACTGTCATTCTTACTGTAATGAGCTCTTTGCTCTAGAAGGTACTAAGATTGGTAGACATATGACACTGGTAGAATTAGTTTAACTGAACATCTTCTGTGTAAAGGTTACCTCTGAGAGAACAAGGAACATCACACTACAAAAAAAGGTTGGCTCCTTTTTGTATCTATAGACAATTACTGGCTTAAGTTATATTCTACTTCATACACACATTTGCAAAAATGCATCACAGGGTTTGACATCTTCAGCTGTCACAGATGTCACACAACAGAGACATTAATCCATTAGTCTATTTTTTTTTTAACGTGTGTGTCTTTTTATATCTCCTCCTTTCTCATTTCAGTTGTTGGTTCATGTTTTTCCTATTCTCTAGTCCCACTCATAATTCTTTCATTCTGCCATTTTTATCCTTTAAGTAGATGTAAGGTAGGATTATTCTGATACACAGATTTCATGTTTTCCAGTAAACTAGCTAATCCTTTCCGTCAACAAATACATCTAAACTGGTTACTTTCTCAATCTATCCTTGTTTCTCAATTCTTTTAATATGAATCTTTTGATTGTGACAGATACGCTGCCTGACCAAACTTTAGTCAAGCCTAGGCTTATCTGTGCAACAGCCGTAAAATCTAGTTTTAACAAGAACCTCCCCAGTCCTTGTTCTTCATCCTCCACCAGTTTGATCACGTCTTCAGCAACAATTATGTTAAGTTGCTTTAGCCAGAATCTCCCTGATCCATCCTCTTAATTTTCCACCCTCTGATTGCCCTACCCCCTTATAGCTCTTTGGCTATAAATTCTCACTTGCCCATGCTGTGTTCAGAGTTGAGCTCAATCTATTTCCCCAACTACAAAATCCCATTACAGTGGTCCCCATACTCAAAGATCCTGAATAAAGTCTGACTTACTATACTTGAAGAGTATCATCAAATAATTTTTTTTTTTCAACAATAAAAGGGAGGCACTGTCTATACTATATACTTGGTTTGGAGGCATGCTCCATCCAGCATATTGCCTCATTTATTTCACAAACATTTGGCTACTACAGACAGTGCTCGACTTACGACCACGGTCGGGCCCGCGGAACGGTCGTAACACGATTTTGGTCGTTAGTTGAGTAGGCTACATGTACAGTTGAAATGGTGCACGCAGTGATGGTAGTGCTGCCAGAAGCTGGTCCGCACTGTCCTACGCCCAGCTGGGCAACGTTTGCGCTGCCAGACGCGGAGCAGTCGTGGCTAGCGATTGTGGTCGTAAAGTCGAATGGTCGTAAATTGCATAGGTCGTAAGTCGATCAATGCCTCTGTTATGCAGGCAAAAGAACTAGTGAACACTTGCAGGAGGCTTCAAAAATTAGAGAAATGATGTAAAATCTCATTTATCTTAGTGATAAAGCATATCAACCATAAACTTATCTAGCATGTTTAAAAAGTTATATTTTCAACAAGCATACATGTGGGGAGAGATTAGAACATAAAATGACTCCTTACCATATAAATTTCGCTTTTTTTTGAAATGGAGTATCACTTTGTTGCCTAGGCTGAAGTGCAGTGGCATGATCTCGGCTTACTGCAACCTCCGCCTCCCAGGTTCAAGCGATTATCCTGCCTCAGCCTCCCGAGTAGCTGGGATTACAGGCACGTGCCACTACGCCCAGCTAATTTTTGTATTTTTAGTAGAGATGAGGTTTCACCATGTTGGTCAGGGTGGTCTCGAACTCCTGACCTCAGGTGCTCTGCTCGCCTCAGCCTCCCAAAGTGCTGGGATTACAGGTGTGAGCCACCTCGCCAAAATTGGCAATCAATACTGTCTCCTCAGACGTTAAAGAACACCGTCTAACTCTAAGCACACAGATTTACAGTATTCAACCCCTTAATTTCTCTAAATACCTTCCAGATTTAGTCTTCTTTCCATAATTGAGAACTATTTGTCATAAAGATGGTCTGTACGCCCCAACTTAACTTTATTACTTAGCACAGTACGTGGCATAAAATCCAATGTCCAATCAACAAAGCAGATCCTCAGCTTCTCAACTCTCGCAAGAGCGAGCATGCATTTCCTTAAATCCCTGCCCTCACAATACCTAGCGCAATTCACACGTAACACAAACTCGGTGACTCCCAGGGACTGGCTTAGAAGAAAGTTTCTGGGAGTTTTGAGATTTCAGAAACTTTCTCCTAAGGCAGTTCCTGGGAGCCGCTGAATCATGAGTCACTTCATTTCCATTACTTTTTTTTTTGAGGCAGCCCTAACTCCACAGATGTATGCCATTATCAGGTACACCTGACGTTTATACGGAACTGTTTTCACGACATTTTGATCTTCTTAATAGCCTTCCAACAGGTACTCAAGGTTCTTAGAATACCAATTCCTTACAATGGCCTAGTGATCTAGTTGGTCCCAGCTGATTTCCCCCCCTCACTTAAAATGTTCTGGACATATCTGGCGTCTGACTGATCCTTCAATACCCTAAGTTTATCCATCCTCGGGCCCTATTTCCCTCCAACTAGCATGCCCCCTCTCACGTCCTAACAGGCCAGGCTCAAACAACGCCTCCTACGGCTGCCCCGGCCGGGAGTCCTCTGCCTCCCCCAGCACTCCACTGTATTCAAAGCATAGAACTTCCCCACCACCCCAAATTCTCCCTGCCTTCTTTCCAAGTGACTTATCTCCTCTAGACTGTGAACTTCTTGAAAACACGGACCGTATCTGCTTCTAAATGCATCCCCACTGCCTAGAACCGTGTCTGGCACAGAGCAAGCCGGCGACCACCGCTGGGCTGCGGCTTTGACGCCCCAGGCGGATTCGCCGCAACTCTGAGAACGTACTCCCAGCATCAGCCTCCTTTCCCCCCAGAAAGCCTTCGTCGGGAGTGCTGGCCGCTCACGCTGCCGAGTCACAGGTGAGGTTCAGGATTCTCCGCCGCGGTGGACCGCCAGCAGACCGCGAAGCAGGTGAACATCCTCCCGCGGAACCTAAGCTGCCAAGGGCCGGGGAGGGGAACCGAAGCCGGCGTCGGCGGCCTCCAGAACCTGTCAAGAGTCTTTTAGGCGTCGGTCAAGGAAGTGCGCCCGCCATTCCACAGAGCAGGGAGAGGGAGCTGAAAACTGGTCACCGCAAACCGGCTTCCAAAAAACCAACTGGAAAACTCACCGGAAAGCGTAGGCTGCCCACACGCCCCAAAGGACCCAAGCAGGAGAGACGCATCCTCGTAAGCAGACCGGCGTGCGCGCGCCGAATTTGCGCAACCGCAGTAGAAGCCGCGTGCTCTTAAACCGGCCGCGCAACCGCAGTGGAGGCCTCCTGTGCCCGGGGCGGGGCACGGAACTGGGCGGAGCTAGGCCCCCTCGCACGCTGACGCGACTGGTCGCGGCGGAAGGGTGTAGGTGCGCAGGCGCGGAGGTGGTACGGGGGCAGGGAGGCGGGGCCGCGCAGGCGCTGTGAGAGGCGGTAGCGGCGGCGGCGGCGGCGGTGGCAGCGGCAGCGGTGAAGGGGTTCCGGGAAGATGGTGCTGATCAAGGAATTGTGAGTGGGTCTGTGGGCGCCAGCTAGGCCGTGGGACTGCAGTGACGGCAGATATGTTGATGGAGAAGTAGCAGGCTCTCCCTAAATCGCAGTCAGCCCTGTGTCAGCCCCTCCTTGCGTGCGCCCCCTCCCTCCGACACGCGCCCCTGGCCCCCTTGAAGCCCCTCCCTGATCGCACCCCTTGGCCCTCCGGGCACTGCCGTGGTAACGCGGCCTCCCACTTCTCCGCGACGAAGGCGGCTGGGTCCCGGCCCGAGCGCGTGGCTCGGGAAGGCGCGGCCGGGAGTTTCCGCTGGGACCCGCCTTCTCCCCAACCCCCCACCCCCAGCCTGGGTCTGGGCCCACCCCCAGGTCCGCCGGTGGGAAGGAGCCGCAGTCCAAGGGTGGGGAGACACGTTGGGTCTGACTGTGATTTGTCGTCTGGGGTGGAGTCCGCTGGTAACCAGCGGGAGATGGGCTTGCCGATTGCAGACAGCCCTGGTGTCAGGACTCGGGGTGGGACGTTGGCGCCCTGAAGTTCGTGCTGGAGCCGGGAATCGAAAGCCTGCGCTCAGCTGGGCAGCTCCGTGGACTTGACGGGAGAGCCTTTTCTTTTCTTGGTTTCCGCATGTTTTAAGATGAGGTGACACCCCGGGCCCCACCTACTTTCTTAGAAGTTAACACGTGGTCTGTCAAATGGAGGGATTTCGAGGTGCATCCGAGGATCCGAGTTATTTTGTTGAAAAGTCACTGCTTTTCCCACTGGCAAGGACTGTGAACATTACGGAAATTTGCTTGGCTTTGAATGTGTTCATCTGTCACAGCCGGTTCGTGTCGTCAGCATCCTTTGAGCAGCTAGGGATGTCGAATACGGCCCGTTCGTTGTTTTTCACATTTTTCATTTTAGAATCTTAGAAATGTTTTTGACTTACTTTAGCTTTCTTCAGACACATTATTTTTAGTGTTCTTAAACCTTTAAAAAGTCACTGATGTCATTTCTCTGCTTAATACGTCCCAAAGACTTCCTCTCTCATCCAGAATAAAAAGTCAGTACCTCTGCAACATCCTACAAGGCTTTTCACTTTTTCCCGCCCTGATTTCATTTACCACCTTTCCTTCCCCTGCCCATTCCAGCTTCACAAGCTTCCTTGCTGTTCCTCCACTACTGTACATTAAGTTCAGTTCAAGGCCTTTCCACCTGATTTTGTTCCCTTTGCTCGAAGGGCTCTAACTCACCTCCTTCCAGGTCTTTGCTCAGATGTCGCCTTCTCAGGGAATTCGTTTCCGAAGACCTAATTGCTGTTCCCACTATTTGGTGTTTGCCTTCCCTGCTTGATCGGTCTCCGTATCACCATCCAACTTGCAATGCAATTTTTTATTAATCTGTTTTTCTCTTACTAGTTGTATTCTCTTTCTACATGTAAGGGCCATGAATTTGTTTTGTTCACTGTCATATCCCCAGTTTTTAGAATAGTTCTTCGCATGTAATAGGTGCTCAGTAAATATTTGTTAACGAATTGATGAAAAATGCTAACTTTGGTCCATGACAGAGATGTTGAGAAGAGACGTATTTTGCCTTTTGTTGATAGAGTGAAAATTCGAATTGGGTTTATATAAAACCTTTCTTTCAAGTCGTTTATACGGTGTATCAAACAAGTGTTAATTACTCTGACTTCTATGTGATGTAGGTAGATGGGTGGCAGACACTAAAACAAACGGAGAAAGTAAGAAAGAAGCAACTTGACTTGGCCCACGTTACAGAGCAAGTGAATTGCAGAACTGATTTTAAACAGGTCTAGTCATTTTTTTTTCATTGGAGTATTTCCTCCCTCCAAAAATGTTACAGACACATAAAGTGTTCAGTAGATCAGTTTGACAGTTATGTGAGTAGTATGAAGCTAACTCTTGGAAAGCAGTTCCCACTGGGAATTTGCACACTATGCTTTTTGCAAATATTTGCTTTCATTATAAAATTTAAACGTACCCAGATAATGAATGTTGACAACATGTGCCCAAAGTCTAATTATTTTTCCCAAAGAGTTATAAATTAAATTTATTTATTTATTTATTTGAGACTGAGTCTTATTCTGTTGCCCAGGCTGGAGTGCAGTGGCACCATCTCGGCTCACTGCGACTACCACCTCCTGGGTTCAATCGATTCTCCTGCCTCAGCCTCCCAAGTAGCTGGGATTGCAGGCATATGCCACCACGCCCCACTAATTTTTTATTTTTGGTACAGGTGGAGTTTCATCATGTTGCTCAGGCTGGTCTTGAACTCTTGAACCCAGGTGATCCACCTGCCTTGGTTACAGTGCTGTGGTTACAGGTGTGAGCCACCACGCCCAGCCATAAATTTCTTGATGTTCACTCAAGGTTTTTTTTCTCCCTCTTAGACTTTTTGAACGTAGGTGCTATTTGATAAATAATGTCAGTATCTAGCACAGAATCTAATCCTAGCATGCTGTATTCAGTGTTGTTCAATGAAAAATTGAGACTTACTTGTAAGTCAGCTTTCTAAAACTTGTTTGTTAGAAGCGATGAATAGCTCATTCCTGTGTGAAGGTATCGGTAACTGAAATATTTTGGTGAATGTTTGTTGTTTTACAAAATTCTGTTTATTTATTATTTATTTTTGAAACAGTCTCACTCTGTTGCCCTGGCTGGAGTGCAGTGGCAGCATCTCGGCTCACTGCAACCTCCACCTCCTGGGTTCAAGTGATTCTCCTGCCTCAGCCTCCTGAGTAGCTGGGACTACAGGCACATGCCACCATGCCTTGCTAAATGTTTTGTACTTTTAGCAGAGACAGGGTTTCACCATGTTGGTCAGGCTGGTCTTGAACTGCTTACCTCAGGTGATCCACCTGCCTCAGCCTCCCAAAGTGCTAGGATTACAGGCATGAGCCACCACGCCTGGCCCTCTATTTTTTTAAATAAGAATTAAAATGTTAGAAATGACTTTCGGGGTGGGCTGTTTTCTTTCAAGTTATTATTTAAGCAGTAGACAGAGTTACCACCAATGTAGAGTCCTGGTTTTAAAGAACTTGTTACTGATTCCATTTGGAAGATTATTTTTGTGAGAATTTTTAGACATTTGAACATTTTCAATTGGCACTGAAAGTTGAATACTGCTTTTAGAATAATAACAGAAAATCAAAGCTTGTATGTTCCTTTTCGCTTTTACTTGTTAAGCAAATCTTGAAGTTACTTGACTCATTGTTCAGAATGTGTTAATCAGTCACTTTCATTTTGTGAAAGAAATTTCCTTGAAAATGTTATTGAATAAAAATAGGGATCTTCCTATTAGCGTAAAATTACTCAGCAGTGATTCTTTGGTTTTGTGAAACTTCAGGGAAGACTAACTCTTCCCTCTCTATCCCTTCCTTCCATTCCCTCTGCAGTCCATCATCTTTCTTGCCTAGCCTCCCAAAAGATAGCTTTTCCCGCTTCTCCTGCTTGTCAGTGTTTTTAACTACCTGCAGATGACTTCCAGTCAGCTGTAGTTGTCACTTACCTCTTAGAACAATGTTCTGGGATTCCTTATTGCCTAATGAATTTAATGGATTTCTTACTATAGTATTATAGATCCTGATCTTGAAATTATGCTCCCAACCTATGTCATTCTGGTCTCCTCTCCCCCACTTTATGCCCTGGGACAGAGCAAGTTAGTGTGTACTGAGAAGAGAACTAAAATGATTTGGAATTTTTAGGTACTGAAGGACTTACTGAGACGGAGTCTTACTCTGTTGCCCAGGCTGGAGCACAGTGGTGCTCCGCCTCCGGGCTTCAAGTGATTCTCCTGCCTCACCCTCCAGAGTAGATGGGATTACAGGTGTGTGCCACCACACCCAGCTAATTTTCTTATTTTTAGTAGAGGTGGGGTTTCACTGTGTTGGCCAGGCTGGTCTTGAACCCACCCCTGACCTCGTGATCCGCCCACTTCAGCCTCCCAAAGTGCTGGGATTACAAGCGTGAGCCACCCTGCCGGCAAGAAGTTTATTCTTGACGGAGAGTAGAAATTAGTGACCACTGTGGCTTTTGAGAGTTCATTGTTTTTGGATCACCATTATCAGAAAGACAAAGAGTGGTGGTAATTTGGTAGTCAAAGGGAAGGAGTAACAGACGTGTGTTGTGCATGTTGGAGATTGAGGTGATGTGAACATTCAGACAGAGATGTTTGAGGAGAGTAGGGAGAAAGGAGTAGGTGGAAAGTATAGCCGGAATGCAAACTGGATATAGTCGGGGTTGCATTACTCATCTTCATGCTTAGGTATAAGAAAGACTATTAACAAAGAATGTCTAGACCGAAAAGATTGTCACTAATACAATAAGCTAAATGACTCTTACTGTAAGAAAAAATAAAAAAAACTACAGCTGAAGAGAAATTAAAATGAGGAAAACTATTGAAAATTTTCTATAAAATGACAGGTAAGATTAGGAAAATATGAGAAGGATGATACACCCCTCCCCCCACTCCAAAGAAGAAGTTGCTGTCTTGGAACCAACTGTAATTATGAGACAGTTAGTATACATGGATGGTCTTGGTTTTCAGAATTTATGGTGGAAATAAACTAAGGAATCTCCTTATCAAGTCTAGAGATAAAATGCAACATTTTGATAAAATAATATACCATGATATTGTTTTTGGCCTTTAAGACTGCTTGCAATGGAGCTATAATGACATCTTTTTGGTATATACAATGATAAACTCTTGAACAGGATCAAACACA